AGGATTTGGAAAGCCTGGGCGTGGAGAGAAAAGTGCCCAGAGGCGAAGGGAAGGCTCAAAGTAAGATATGATAGACTGAGAGGTCATGCAAAATGACCAGACGTATTTACCATCAGGGTGGACAGCCCTTTCTCTTGAAGAACTCCCCAGTCGGGTGAATCTATCTTTGCTCCGCCCAGGTTCACTCTTCATTCACGGACGAGGCCTCAGCCTGGCTCTGGCAAACTCTGCAGCCTCGTCCCTGCCAAGCCCCCACACGTGCCGTCCCGCCATGCTTCTCTACCCTCAGAAGAAATTTTTATTTTGTCCCCTTTTCCCTCACCCGCCTGAACCGGAAATAATCACCATGTGAGTAAGCTAACTTTGATCTCGAAGACGACGTTTGTCAAACATGTCCCAAGACTCAGGACCAGCCCCCCTCACGAGCTGCAAAGTCATCCTCGCTGGCACTATCGCGAAGGGACTACTTGCAGAGGTTCAAGCCGGTTTGAAAGAACTCGATCGCAAGCCCCATTTGCTGGGAATACTGGCGAACAATGATCCTGCCGCCAAAGTGTACGCAGATTGGACAGAGAAGACGTGTCGTGAGAAGTAAGTCCTTTTTCGTCCTTTTCGCGACCCCCCCTTTCACGTCCAGCAAGGGAGAAAGGATATTCAGAGAACAAGAGCGAAATGTGCCCGACATTCAACCTGAGTCCTTTCCCCATCTTATTTTTCAGTGTCCTGACCTGGTGCCAATGACAAAGTGGCTTCTTGTACACCCTCCAACAAGCCGCCAAAGACTCGGTCGAAGAGGTTGTGCTCGCCGCCAATGCCAACCCAGCCTACGACGGCATCATAATCTACTACCCCATCTTCAACAACCGGGGCCAAGATCAGTACATACAGAATATCGTCTCCCTTTCAAAGGATGTCGAGGGTTTGAGTCATCAGTACATATTCAACATGTATCAGAATATCCGCTTTCTTGACGACGGACAGATGATGAAGAGTATCTTGCCCTGTACTCCGCTGGCGGTGATAAAGATCCTGGAGTACCTGCATATTTACAACACGATTTTGCCCTACGGTAATAGACTTTTCGGCCGCACGATCTGCGTAGTCAACCGCAGCGAAGTCGTCGGTCGTCCGCTCGCCGCTTTACTCGCCAACGATGGAGCGTGCGTGTATTCTGTCGACGTTACAGGTGTCCAGCAGTTCCACCGCGGAGCCGGGATACGCAAGAGGAAGCACGAAGTGGTGGAGATGGAAGGCTGGACCATCGAAAATTGTGCCCCTTTGTGCGACGTTGTCATAACGGGTGTCCCCGGCGAAGCTTACAAATTCCCGTGCCACGTGTTGAAGGACGGTGCAGTGTGTATCAATTTCTCGTCTGAGAAAGTAAGTCTTTTTCGCTACCTCTCCATCCCCAGGTCCCCCTCTGTGCAAAGCTCGAATATCAACCTCACTGCTGTTATTCCTCGTAGAACTTCCCTCCCGAAGTCAAAGAAAAGGCATCCATCTACGTCCCTGCCATTGGGAAAGTCACCATCGTCGTGCTCCTGCGGAACCTGCTGCGCATCGTACAGAATCGGCGGGCGCAGGTCGAGAGAGAGCAGCAATCCCAGTCTCAGACCTCGGCCCATGAAAGCTCCACGGAAGCGCAGGCCCGCAATACTGTCGCAACCGGACAGAAACTGGAAACGGTGACACTGAACGGTGTTGCAAGGTAACACCGCATTCTGGTGGTTAGGCTCTCGAGCTGGGTTTTACGGATCGCAATCTACATTCCGATGCACGACAACAGGATCATGGGACCTGGTCTATATTCCAAGCAAGGGTCAGGCGGGAGCACATCGTTCTTGTCCCCCCTAGATCGCGTATCACCTTCAGGCTCCAAGTTTTCCTTTTCTCAGCATATCCCAGCGAGACACAGTAACTCAGGGCTTCCAGGCCACGCGACAAGACACAGGAGCGCTGCCCGTCTCATGGTTGCTCTTGGCCTGACAAGGATTACCTAGCTCTGTGAGTGAGTATTTACTGCGTACGGCCCCCACAGACATCTCTATTCGCGAAGGTTGGAATGTCCGATATAGTGTTGCAGAAGGCCAAAATGGTCGAGCAATGGTCCCTCAAAATGAGCTTGTCCGCACCCACCATCAGCTCAACTCCCTTGACTTGATCTTAGCTTGGAAGCGACCCTCTCTGCATGAGTTGAACCACTCCAGGTGCTGTTCGGGGCGGATTGTGATCAATATCGACTAATAGAAGAATCAGTCCGAACAAGAATGAACAAAAGCACTTTCAAGATATAGCGAAGTCACGTTCTCGACTTGATTCAAAGGAGAGCAATAACCGATTCTTCGATAGCGTCCAAACAGACTTGGGCACCATCAGTCACAAGTAACCGTTGCTTCGGTTCGCTTTCGTCTAGAGTGGAAAAAAAACTGCCCCCCATGGTTCATGGCCCGTCCGCCTGCGAGAAACAACTTGCGGTCCACCCATCCCCAGAGCCTGGTCTCATGCCGTGCAATCGAAGTATATGGTCCAGAATGGACTGGCAATGCGACGCGGACTCGATTTCTGCTTTTCCCACAAGGTCGGAAAATCGCCGTATGAACCAGTTCTCGCTTTCAGTTGCTGAGACAGTGGGACTCGATATGGAATGTTCCACCATGGCCCCAGTCCACAGAAACCACAGCAAGAGCGGAAGTCGCCCAGAGTTATCTTGTTCTTCTGATGTGCCCAGCTGGGCAGCTTCATAAACCGTAAGTATCTGACGAAGCCTGCAAAGCATCACCGGATTCCACGTGAATAACCTCGTCTGCTCTGTCATGGAGATACTCTCAATCCCACCCAATTCACGGAGCCAGTATATTGCACAGAGGCTGGCAGAAGCCAGTTCAAGTTTCTGCAATACGGAGGACACTGTGATTCGATCACTTTGGCAAAGAATGGTTTGGACGTCGAGGTGTGCATAAAGGTTCATCAGTCTCCCAGCCGTCAATATGATTTTTGACATGGCATAAACCCAGGTCTGGGAAGTATCCAAAGGTGTGCGTCTGCGAATTCTCATTATGATATCGAGGGTCTCTTGAGCATCAAGGTACAGAGTACGGATGTCACCTTTCAGGTAGGAATCTAGGTTTTGGTCGGCCTCTGATCTCGATATCGGAAAGCGCGGAGAGACTTTCTCCCACAACGGTAAGAATTGTTTTTCGACCCACCCATTTGGACCGACGTCAATACATGTTCTCGAGAAGTTCATGGCAGCAAACTGAACTTCGAGATATATTACACTGATATAGTGGTGGAGGTTGAAGGATGGATCTGCAAAGAGTACGGCATGGTGCGTTGCAAAGATATCCTTCAGGGCCGTAACGTGCTGATAGAGGGCTCGTCTGTCTCCCAATGAACTATCGGCCAAGAGCAGGATCAAGACGGCACGGTAAAGTCGGAGAATGTTGATGCGAGGGGCAGTGGTCATGTATTCTTTCAGGGAAGCCACTCCCTTGTGCCGGAATTTGCGTGCTGCATCGAGATATTCTGGGCTGGATGTGAACATGTACCTGCTGGCGGCGATTCGTGACAGATAGCTGTGGATTGCGATGCTGTCATACAGATAGGCTTTGCTCTCGGTGATCCACGTTTCGGTGAACGCGGCTTGCCTAGGAACATTGTCTTTCGCTGCCATGCGCAGTTCGAGTTCCCTGACCGCAGGAACGACGCAGTCCCTCTCAAATCCGAGGAGCGAATTCGCTGTGGCTGTAAGCTGCTGAGGGAGAACATCGAAAGGGTCTGAGTTGCCGTTCAGCAGGACGACATCGAGTAACCGCGGTAGGCTGCGAACTGGGCTTGGTGGGGAAGGTATTTGAGCCGTTTCGGATGGATTGTCCTCTCGGATGGCGCGGCTGGGGGTGAATTTCTGAGGGTTGAATTGAGATTCAATGGTTTCGTGGAATCTGGATGATTCCCGAAGACGGCGAGCATCTTGTCCCTTCTTCCAACGACGATAGCCGTGGACATGGCGCGTTACCTGCTGGCGGTGTGGTAGAGTGCTCAAACTCGCTGCATCGACATTCACAAAGGAAAAAACCCCTTGGAACATCAAATCAGATGGCATTGTGGCAATGACGCCGAGTACGCTTTCGCAAGTCGACAAAAGACAACTCTTTCTCGAGATGACAAAATGAGGAGGAGGAAGGCAGAGAGATTGATCTTCTAAAGGCAGGACGCTACTTCTGATTCCCGAGGGCACTTACCGGAAAGAACGGACTCTGTGAGCAGCAATTGAAGCGGCGACAGCTTCACCGAAGGTTCGCTCCAGGGGGATGGACTTAAGGACTGACCAAGCCTCTTGGGCAGGTCTGTGCACATGGGCCACATTCGATCTCCAAGTTCGCTGGCACTCCCAGGTTGGGACATCATGACTGCCTTGGCTGGCTAATGTCATGACCCATTTGCCACTCGTCTGTTTTCTCACGGCCGGATGTGTTTGCGAAGAGAAGGGCGTGCTGTTTGTCCAATCATGCACCTCTTCTCTAAGGAGACGCCGCCAGGTGATTTGCATATTTGTGGAGATTATCAACCGGACGGCTTAGTCACCTGTCGCCTACTCGTACTTATATCCCAGGGACTGCAGGGCGATCTTGTGTACGCGAGTATCTCGGATCTATGTCTTCTGGAAGCAGGGAGGCGGGCTTCCGTCTCGCTTTTCGGGGGCCGCAGGACCCCCACTCAAGGTATTCAGGATGTGGAAGGTAAGGACTCCAATCAGAGCTTTTCATGTTTCAACGGGGATGGATTTTGATGCATTATCCGGCGCCTAGAGTGCACTATCTCGACGTTCAATGACTGCTCCAGGGAGCTTCCAACTGACAGAACACTTACACCAACAACTGCTGCTGGATTCCCTCCATAACACCAAAAACTGAAATCCGAAGAATTTCACGCTAGACCCTAGACACTATTGCCGGGAGCGTGGGGGCAAAGATGGACAAGGCTACATCCACTTTTCAAGCTTACGGTAGGTTCAGCAGGTCTTCAAATTCTGGGAGATTACTTGCTTCCAGCGAAGGCAGTTTGTCAAGTCCATTCCCGTCCGAGGCTAGGCTCTGAGAAAAGATCCTGCGACGGGTAGGCTGGGCGGATGTTGATGAGAATGAAAAAGCGTCAAATTGCTGGAAATCCGGAGTACGGGGCCTTTGGACTCGAAAAATCAAGTTGGCCATGTCTTGTTCAGAGTAAGCCGAGAAAGCTGCAATCTGTGCGTGGAGGTCTGCGACGCGCCCCTTCAACCTCATCACCACTTCGGATTGCTGCGAATATGAGACGAGCAGCCTCTGATGCTTCTCGCCAAGATCTTCTAAAGTTGACTTCAAACTGCGGAGGTGCTTCTCTTTGCGTTCACGAAAAGCACGCTGGGATGCGCGGTTTTGCGCTCGGCGACGCTGCAAGCCCCGTTTTGTTAGATTTCCGCTTGAGCCAGTCAAAAGAAGACAGCATCTTTTGAGAAACCCACAGGTACTCCGAGTGCCTCGACTTTGAAAGCATTGCGAGCTGACTTACCATCTTCGTGCTAGATTCGGCCGATAGCTCTGAATCTGTGGATGTGGATGTTGCCGGTTGATCTATGGTAGAGATTTCGACATCACTGATCATTTTCGATCCATTCTTTACGAGGCAGCTATCCCTGTCACCAAGGAACATGTCTGAGGCGTCCATATTGCCGAACTGATGGAAGTCATCCAATAACTATAACTGACTGTCAAACCCTGGTCTTCCCGGCATGACCCAAAGGCTGTTGCTTGGACTTACGTCGAGATTGTCAAACTCCCCCAGGTCTACAAGATACAGTTCTGAAGCTGCGAAACTCGAGCTATCTGAAGGGTTATCAATGCGGGGGACGTTCATGGCGGGCGTTGGTTTAGTTGTGGAGAGACCGAATGAGGATGTAAGGGTATGGTTTGAGGCTGGTACGAGGTGGCTTGGTTTGAGACGACGTTATGAAGACCGAAAAAAGCTTGAGGATCGAAACATGGGCTCAGCCAAACCGTGGTCGAGGACATGTCTTTACATAAGGTAGACATGGCCATTGTGAGAGGGGCTGTTGTTGACATGGTGTCACTTCTCGCACGATCTCTTTTACCAGTCTCGCCAGGAACCCTGCAGAAACATTGTTGGGGCCTTTTTCGAGTCAAGGCCAGCCAAGCCCTTGGCCCACTAGTCCCACTTGGGGGGCCATCAGGCCAATGGGAGAGAGGCTTTGCTCTACCAGATATGGAATAGTCATATTACATCGTAGGTAATAGTGGCACGCCCAGATCAATGCTCTGCAGGGCAAGAGGCGAAGTCCATGCGGCTTGCACAGAGGGTTCCAAATACCTCGTAGCTTCCATCGAGATGTGCTTGCACTTGCACACATGGAGCTAAAGGGCCACAGTTACTTAAATGCGTAGTAGTCAGCTTCGAGAGGTCCAGTGACCGCAAGGGCCACCCATTTAGAATCCCGGCCCTCTGGTGATTTGAAGACCAAGCCTAAACAACACTCACACCTGAAAAGCCGCAGATATTCGGTTCAGGCACCCTGCCAAAGAAGCCTAACCTATGACATGGTCGAGGGTAGTGGATTATGGTGGAACAGAGACAAGGTAAGCGTTCGAAGATGGCCTTGTTCACTTGTTACGGTAAGGATTAAGAGCAACTTGTCCAAGATAGGAAAGCACAACGTCATATTATGCAAACCACACGGGCCCCTCCACCGAAGTCCAAGAAATGCAAAATTGTATCCACTACAAGTAGATGGTAGTGCTCGATCAGCAATATTGCTGTGTTATGATGGCGTATCTCGAGGGTGAATGACAAAGCATCAAGCTTAACAATGCTTGACAAAGCGGAAACTGTTCTAGACTAAATTGTCAAGGAGAGCCTGGCAACCTCCTCAATAGACTCTCGGTGAGTCGTCTTGAACTCTCTTTGGTGAAAAGCTGAGGAATAAGTGGAACGTTTCTAGCCAAATATGTTGTAATCCACTTCAATGTTTCACCCAATGATCAAGAGTGCTAACAGCCCTCATGTTTACGAGGTTGGTACGGCATGTTGTAAAGACTTGATGCAATAATGCGTAGCAATCGACAATATGGAAAGGCTGAGGGCGTTGAGGTCGTCTAACTCAGCCAACGCAATTTGATCTTGTTCCACATCCCAGGGAAACCCCAAAGCTTAGCTGGAAGACTCTTCGGCAACCTGAGGTCGGTCTGTATAGTCGGTCTGATAGTGCTGTTCTTATGTGCACGCAATTATTCAACGTAATTGTTAGTAGGATTTTGACCCGGTAATATTTTCAGCACCGCTCTTACTTTGCGCAAAAACGATAATAGGATGGATCATGAATATCGACGAAGCGAACTCCGAAAGAGAACTAAGCATCTACTTTCGAGAGGGTACTCAGATCGGATTGTCACTGTAGTCGTAGACTCATTACTATTCTAGGCCCATACGTTCGTCGAAAATGACAATAAGGGTCGCGCCCGCGAGCTATACAATGAAATGCTATAAGAGCCAGATATTCATTTCTTATAATAAGTGAAAGGACATTTTATGCTTGCTGCGCTTGCCAACGTCCCTCCTGTGGTAGCAATGCTTTTTAACAAGGTAGACAAGTTCTATACCCAGCTATACCAGAGCAGGGGGGATTGTGAGGAACAGGAAATCCTAATACACCGATCGATGATGAACGATGGAAAAAAGGATCTGAGTTCAGATGGCGAAAATATCACCTATTTTTCTCTCAGTAATTAACGGGCGAGAGGAGAGTCAAGGCCATACCTCACATATTTCGCTCTCTCTGAAAAGCCCATTTCGCAGCGAAACACTGTGCTGGAACACATCTGAATGCCAAAATATAATCAGACCAGGCATTTTGGACTCCATGAGGGTGTTTGGCAGTCTTAATTTCTCCTCCACTAAGCACGCCTAACTCGTTAGATGGACCCTCAAAAATATTGCGTCTCCGTGACCGTTCCACGCTCATGATCGCGACCAGACAGCGTAGACCTTGTGATAATCTCCATTTGTGCGCATGAAACAATATCCATGGCGCGTCGTCACTGAATGATATTCATACAGAAGGTTAAGAGTCCTCGTAATGATTTTTGAAGACTCGTTGTCGAGAGGACTTTTTGATCCCGCACATATTGAGACCCGTGTAACGTTTGCATGATGCCCAAGCAGAATAAAGAAATCCGAGGTCGTCGCTAGAGGGACTGTGAGGGTTGTCAGAGATCCGATTGATCCTCTTGTCTACGAGTACAAGAGCACGTGTTAAAAATATATAGCTCTTTATTGTTACGAGTTCAATTTTCTTTTTCGTTGCATTTCTTGAAGGTAAAAATGGCCTAGGGCGACTTTCCCTTTCCTGCGTAGAGAGGCGATAGGAATTCCATTGTGGCCCCGTTGAACTGAGTGTTGCAACAGCATCATACAATGTCAATCTGAAAAATATTTCGCGATATTAACCTCGTAGACATAGTATTTGCTTACGGAGATGCAAGCGCAACTTGTGCAGCTCGTGCAGACGGAAGATGAGGTGACAGGTGGCTCTTTGTTCAATCTTCATTGTCCGGGAGATTGAGAACGACCGGTTCTTGACATGTCGACTCCTTCACCCCATCATCTGCACCAAACGTCGATACAGGGAGTGATTGATCTATTTGCGCCGGATTCAGGGCCGAGTTCTGAGCAACGACGCCGGGCAAGTCGTGTTTTCACGGCACTCACATTCCTCGAAACGTGTGAACCGCTGCAAAATCACAGGCAGCACATACACGTCACCGTCGTTTCGACTCACCTACCGTGGTGTTATATATCACGCTCGTGTGACCGTGACGAGGTGACGGGGCGCGCTGCCTAACAAGGTACTTAGATATCAGACGATGAGAGAATTACATTAATGAAACTAATATATTTACATCATTAGAGGTAATATATATTATCTCTTCAATTAATGACACTCGCGGGTGAGCAATAGAAGTTCGTATATTCAGTACCTCCCACTTAATACGGATATAAGATTCTCTAAATGCATCACTAATACAATGATACATAGAGTACGGAATACGACATCCAGAACCGGAACGATGTTTTTTTGTTTCTTTTCTTGGTTTCCCCAGAATACTTTTTCGGGTATTCATGTGGTATTAGGGATACCATGACACGAATCTGCCGCTTAGTCATGCTCAGACGAGAATATACATCATGACCGATTAGGCATAGCACAATCGGCTGACATTGTACCTTTCCGTGGGGAGAAAGTTGCAGTGTGTGAATGTGTCATCAAAGGGGGGCTGGTTTCGGAACGACTGTATTACTTCATCGCGATACAGATACCTTTCATGAATGCCATATCATGCTAGGAGCCTTATCCTTTACCGGGTACCCAGTAATCGAGTCGGGGGCCCTGTAGTCGACACCCGAGACTTGGTCATCCAGAGTACAGAGATCTCAGATGAAGACCCAACCCAGGCCAGTCAAATGAGTTCAGCCTTGTGGACTTTCCCGTATCGTGACAATGACAGGGCATCGATCTGTCTACTTAGTAAATATTTGCGGACTTTCTCCCAGTTGAAAGGTCTTTTCCACTTACCGGGTACATATTTGGACCCCCGAACGACTGCTATCCACCATGACAAACCCCTGAAGCAAGCAGAGGGCGAACGATAGTGGAGTCTTTGAGGGGGCGGACGAGGCTTGGCAGGAGAATCTACTGTACTGGTACCGTAGCACATCAGTCGGCAGCTAAAATGAATACTTGACCCACAACAACGCAGCAACCAAGTCAAATCGCGGAAGAACCGCAATTCTCCGCCTCGGCCACATACTTGGGGATAGGGTTGGCAGTGGTGCCGGCACTGAAAACTTCAAAATGTCGCCTCTGAAGGAAAAATTTGACCCGCAGGACCATTCCCAAGAAAGAACGCCATGCCGGATACTCGATTGGATGTTGAAGGAAAGGGGAAACAGGGGTGCGTTCGACAAGAGGCAGGGATGTGTGACAACACACCCTGTGACCTAGCTTGTGTTCCACCGCTGAGAAACGAGATGGCAATCGGACGGGCGCAGTGCAAGGAGTGTGATATCCAGGGACTTGTTCGCTGGACGTGGCCGTCGACGGCGGGACTTTGGCGCTGCACCATTTTGACCATTTGAGCATTTTCTCTTCTGGCAATTTTCTGGAAAGCCCGAGAAACCCCATGCATCGTTGTTTTCACTTCATCCGGGACAAGCCGTGACTGGACGGCCTTGTCTCAGTTCTATCATTTCCCCCGCCCATCAGAGGGACTCCAGTATCAAATAGCAAGATGCTTCCAGTTAAAGCATGACCAGGCGAACGGAGCACGACAGAGCACCACGTCGATCCTCACAACTCGGCCCGCTTTCGAACCATAGAAGAAGGAGAAATGAAAGGCGCCAGGTACCGGTCCTACTGTCGAAAGGGAATCTCGAACATCTCTTAAAAAATCACGGTCTCCGAGAGTCATGCCAGCGTGAATGCCATTCATCCACGAGCCGGAGCCCAAACCATTCATCTACGGGCCTCGATGCCAACGGCCCACGAAGTTGCCAGTGGCATACCGGATAGGAGCAAAGAAAAAAATTCGAAAGAGGGAACCGTCACAAAACACCAGTAAGTGGCTCGTCCGAGGCGGCTTCCGATCGGATAATTGCAAGATCCCAAAGTTAGGTTCGGATGCGCGCCATGTCTATGCCATGTCTAGCTAGATGCAACAGAAGCCATGTATAAGACGATACCCACACCCCGATATCAACCACCTCCAAGTATCGCTGGTCTAGCTCTGAGGGCCATTTTGATCCTCTCCGTCTTCGAATCACTTCATCCTTCGCTTTCGACCTCTCGTGTACGCCGCTAATGATCAAACATGCGAATCCCCAGATGTCCCGAATACTTGCGACTCAGGGAGATTGAACCCCATCGGCGGAAGCTTTTTTGGTGGTTATTGTTGTTGGTTTCGTGTGTGGCTGTCTCTGCAGCGTCAATTCTAGAGCGACGATTGCCCCTTACAACTTGGCCTTCTCGCCAATCGAGCCGATCTTCAACTTAGGACCATACTTCTTAAGTACCGATTCGTTGTGGTACTAGACGTATGTCAGCTTCGACTCCCGTCAACGGTCATTGAGCTCTGGGTTCGCGCTTGGCGATTGTCCCCAACTTAGACAGTATGTGCGCTCACCTTCCAGAACTGCTTTGTAGCATCTTTTCCACAGACTCTCTTCAAAATCTTTGCACCGCCGGGATGCTCGTCCACAAAGTTCGTCACATCGTACACAGACCCGTCGATAATTATGTACATGCCATCGGCGGCGGTGGCGGTGTGTTTGGCCACATCGGCAGTGGTGAACGTTTTGGACATCTTGGAATATTATGGAGAGATTACTTCAATGGGTTTCGAAGCGACGTCTGACCCAGTGCTTATCGAGCTCGTTCGTGCTTGACTCTGGCTGGTCGAGCGCGGCTTCGGGCAAATAGGATATCGCTGGCTGTGTGACCGTGAGGGACGCTTTCTAAGGATGACCGATCAAAGACGCTGGTCGTGTGCGGTGCGGACTGCGCTCTCTATGCAGGAAGAGGGAGGACGGGGATATGGTTGAGCTACAAAGGCGAGAGACGGCTGCAAAATGAATTGACGATATATACAATCCCGCGAGCAAGAGGTGATGGATGCGTTGTGACCTACTCTATAACAAAGGATGAGGAGAAAACGTCCAAGGAAGATGGTAGGGTTCGAATATTAATCGATCCGAAGAAAAGAAGATGAGAAGGTGGTAAGGTGGGAAAGATGCCGAGGTTCAATGCCTCGCCGATTCCGAAATCCCGGCCCGGTCAGCCAAGTTGTCAACCACGCCATTGGCCGGAGAAGGCCTATACCTACCTGGACTTGTACGAGGGATGGACCTATTTCGCTATTCTAACTCCACACAGCCAACTTCCTATGAAACCTCAGCCCAACTACACATCCCTCTGGCTTTCCCGCTCTCGACTTCACTGGAACCTAGTTGTCGCCCTATCGATCTCTTCTATCAATCTGCTCTAGACTACAAGATATCGCATCCTGCTGCTGCTCCCAGACTGCAACGCGATCATCTTCGCCGAGAGCTGTTCCTACAGATATCCATGCTTCCAAGATCGCGTTCAACAGGGGATCCCGTTCACCAACGGAAACAGGGCGGCAACGCAAATTCAATGACGCCTCCAGATTGGCCCAGGCTTCCCACAGCTTTCCCTGCTCTTGCTGTGCAGCACCTAGGAAAAGGTAGGTCCTCGAAACGTCAAAGTTAAGTTGTCCGCTGCTGTACGAAACGGCGTCAACTTCGGCCACCCGCCTCAACAGCTCGGAGCTGATATTCTCAACATCTGAAATCCTGCGCTCCACGAAGAGATAATGGAACGCTGTGTGCCCGAGGCTGATTGAGCAGCGGCCGAGCTTATTGTCCATCTCCCTGAGCATGACCAGAATCTCCTCGCGGTGCTTTTCCTCATATTTCTCGTAGACTCGACCCCTGTCTGCCCGCGGGAAGCTGCTCTAATTGTATGAATAATAGGCTTTAATATTATCGCCCTAAACTCTTGCCATCCATAAGTCACGACAGTAAAGCCAGGATCACGTGCCCTTGAAGGTCTCCTTGCTCATCTTCTAGCAGCTCCTTCAGGGTCTCGATGAAAACTCTCTTCTGGGGTCGCCACTTTTTAATACCTCTTCTGCCAACTTATGCAGTTAATTGTAGAGTTGACCTTGGATGGTCGGATCTTCTTAGAGTAGAATCTTAGGATCATCCTTCTGTAGTATACGTATAATGCCGAGAATGTCAGAGAGTTGACGATGATGCTTTATTTCACGATCTAGTCTAGCAGAAGGAACGCTTAGCGGGGTCTGAGCCCATCCGGACGTGGTTTTTCTTTCCCTAAATTGTTTGATAGCATGAAAGATCTTATTGAGAAGTAGGCTGAGCTGTGTTAAGTCAAAAAAATCAGCATCACTGCGGCTGTAGAGGCCATTTTCACCGGGCGTCCTAATCTCCTTTTATCGAAGTTCTTGTTGAAGTGGACACTCGTAAGCCACAGCATTCGTTGATAGATTCTGAATACCTTAGGATCGTTCAGCCAGTGGTACTTAAACGGTAGATCAATTAAGCAAAGTTGTCTACTAGTTTGGGGAAGCTCACGGTCATCGACGTTTTCATCTGGAATGGGGACTTGGGTCCTTTTGCAGTAGCTTCTGATATTGCTGATGCGTCGAAGAACGCCGTTGGCCACAAGCACAACGTATGGTTTCCTCCCAACGCCTGGATCCTTTGCAGTTCAATGAAGCAACTCCAAGTTCTCAGTCAACTGTCTCGAGGCCTAACTCAACGATATGCTCTTCTAGCAACAGATTTCGAGTGCGGCAGAGGACAGGCATATTTGAAGGACCAGGATGACAACACCACACGCGCCGGCCAGCGGGCAAGCCCGCCACAATGTCCAATATCCCTGGCACTGGTGCAGATCGAGATCCATTGCATCGTTGACACGTCAATCCTCAAGATGCCTACCTCGCTTAGACATTTGCTGCCTCTCACAATCCCAATGCGACTCCGAACTTGGTCTGATGCATTGCCGTGCATCCTGGTTGACGAGGTGCGAACCTTAGGTTCAACCATGCTTGGGGTTATGTGGCCTGGTTGTTGGCCAGTATGAAACTGAAATTGGTTTTTACGGTAAAGATGCATAAGTCATGGATTGGAAGTGCTTCGAACTTCTTCCTACGCCTCTGCTGGGTTGAGGAAGGGGGATAGACCTAGAAGCCGATTCGTCCACCGCCATATCAAGCAGCGAGGATACTCTGCCTCACCGGGTGATAGATCGACCTCGACCATGACAACTCATTCCAACGGGCTTCTTTTATCAACAATAGCGCAAGGAGGTCACAATTTTAGTGTGAATCATAATCCTGACGATATCAGCTGTTCCTCCATCCTTCTCTGCCAACCCTTCCGTCCATATAATTCCCATACTTTCCCTTCAGTCCTCCAATAGTTCCTATCCTTTCTTCCAAAAGAAAGTAAATAGGACGCGAACTTCTGAGTTACTTTGTGCAATGCTCCAGGTCACTGGAACAGAATATTGCGCTCCTAAGAGAAGCGAAGGCCAGAGTTATGCAGGAATAGCGGGAAGTGGTTATGAAGTCTTGTGGGGAAAAATCATGATAAGTGGGTGAATTGGCTATGGTACTCTATTGGTAGCCTGGTACAGCACCCTGCTCTGACCCTGCTTGGTCGTCCAATTCACACCATGCCCAGCATGAGTACGGAGTATCTGCGGTCAATCGCATCTGAAAGAATTGGGCGCGTTTTCTACCTGCTTGGGGTCGAAGGAAAATTGCTAAGCGTGGAAGAATGGAGAACTGGCAGATATGAGTATGAGCAACAACCGTATACTCCGTAGGGGCCGCTGACACAGCTGAAATAGTAATCGTCTATTCGCTCACAACGAGAATACCGCCATGGGGCCTTACAAGCACAATAACGCAAAGCTGCCGCTCCGAGGGGCCGCATTCTCAACGCCCTTGATTAGCGGACTGGTTATAACCAAACGTCCCAATCATCTTGCACAAAATACAGCCTTGCAGACCGTAGCCCAGGACTAGTCCCATCTAGGCACTCGCACCATCTGTTTAGGGAAAAGGCCTGAGATGGGGCCAAGCCGTACATTATACTTTAAGATCAGGGCGAGGGGCATGTAGGGGTTATTTCTCATATACTAGAAAACCACCCTCCCTTTCTCGCGGGATACCCAAAATTCCCATCTCACTTGGAGACGATCTCACTTCGAAAAACTAGGGGATAAGACAATGGCGTTGGATGGTGAATGCTTACCATCAGCACCAGAAGAAGCAGCGTGCTCATCATTGGTACGTTGGACTCGAGTTCCCGGTATCACATTACTGCTACGACTCTTGGCTAACACCGGTCTTCGCAGATCATGGGGGAGAAAGAGGACTTGGGTGGCGGTTATACGAACCTAGGTCTATTTCACCTTGCAGCAATGCCATCCATTCCCTGTGGATCGGAAGCAGAGGCCACGGCAATCTACCAGACGGAGAGTGGTGGGTCCCACGAAGCCAGTCCTGCAGAAAGCAATAATATCATCAAACTGCCGAAGCGGAGACGAAAAGCTCGCATGAACGAGGTTGACGAAGAAACCCAACTGGTAAGGAACCCAGCTATCTATCCCCAATCGCAATACATGCAATAACCCCATCTGATGGGAAGAGGAAGAGCTACATCTGACCAATCTCTCAGCGCCGACGAGCACAGAACAGAGAGTCCCAGCAAGCCTACCGGCATCGCAGGGAGGACCATATCCAAAATCTCCAAAGGCAAATCGTATATCTTCACCTGCAACATCGCGATCTTTGGCAGTCGTTCTGCCTACAAGACAAAAGACTGGGCCTCCTCAGAGAAGTGGTTGCCGATCTCACCATGGAAGTCAGCGTGTTGCGAGGACGGCGCCCACAGCAGCAGCAGCAGCAGCAACTAACACAAGACGAATCACTTCTCCTGGAGGATGAGTGCGACTGTGGTATTGCTTCAAATGACCCGCTCTACCCAAGGTGTTCCGGAATTGGTGCCAATATTGATGTAGAAGAATTGCCAATTCTGGGACAGGATTTGCAAGAATGCCTGTCAGAACATGCACCAATCTATTCTTCACCGTGCCACACCTCAGAATACCCAGACTTGCATTAGAGGATCCGGCTTTCAAGGGGGAGGGCCAAACCAAGGAGGATTCATAGAACGACGGGTGGCGGTCTCACTTCTGTTCGCCTTGGCTGCGTGTTTTGAACCAATAATGTATTGTTGATGGGACACTAGGGAGTCGTTAGTGCTTCGTATACAAGCGGGTGGAGAGCGTGGCCGATGTGCATGACTCAAAGTGGCGGAGGCCGTATGTGATTTGTACCTGAGTGAGCACCGAAAATATATAACCTTTCTGTTGCTTGAATCCATCCCAGCTAGTATACCTCTAGTGTCTGCTGAGGGCGCCAGATTATGTGGGAATGATAATTGGATTGGTCGGACACCATACTTCGATTTTATGAGAAAAGGTCTTTTTTCAACCCCCAATGAATTGCAGCACGTCTCTCACAAACCTCTGGGAATTCTCCTGTGAGAGATATTGTCCAGAATCCTAGGCCACGCCCATCGTGGCGTCTTCATAAAACTCGCTTGACGGGAGACACTGCGAGATCCGGGCGGTAACTTTGAAAATCAAAATGCCGAAGGATAGCAGAAGTCTCTGCTATTTTCCATGGAGACTAGAGCCTGGTAACGGGCACTCACCTGAACTCACGGTCTCGACGGGTTCGGGTGATTGGCACACGTAGGCGTGCTCGACGACAAGCCCGATGTCATGGCCATGACGGGAACTCTGCCGCTGACACCGATGCGCTTCGTGACGACGTCGTGGAGATCGGGAAAGACAGATGGAATTATGATGTACGCATTGAACCAAGGCATACTGCCACAAATCCCACATCACCTCTGGAACAGAGCAGATAGAGTGCAAGATAAGTCTCCAAATTTGTGAATTGAAGCCTTCCAAGGGGCGATGTCATGGTTTCTCTGTCGCTCACGTCTCATCATCGTAGACGAAACCTTCACCCAAATAAATGGTTGCTCCTCCACCATACCACAACGTGCCATTCCGAAAGTCGAGGCCCTTCTCCTCGCCCACTACCCATTCCCCTCCAGGCATGATCAATTGTCCTTCTTGAGGCCAGTATTCCGCTTCGAGCCACTTGTTGATCATCTCGAGCTCATTGATCCAGTGTTTACGCTTCTTGATATCGAGGGTGGCGCTCTCATCCAAAGGATCCCCACCAAAGACATTGGGCGAGTTGAATCGGGCAATAGTAAGATGCGCCGAAGGCACAACATATCTGGAACCAACCTGGATTCCCGATTCTGTAAGGGTAGCGTAAGTATCACGCCGCAAATGGTGATAGGTGTATTGGTCATCATCAGCGGTCCGGCCATTTGACGGTGACTCTCCGGCAGCAGGCACAAAGCTCAGGGCAAGAGCCGCAGAGTCGTAACTCAGAAAAGGTTTGATAAGCCTGGCTCTGTGCAATGACGTGTGATCAGCAATCGCTTTGAAGCGATCTTGGAGCGTATTGATTAAGCCGGTAATCTCATCTTCGGTTTTGGAGTGAGCAACTTCCATGACCGTCATATGCAGATTGTCAAGAGGCATAAGCCAGAGGTCTGTGTGGTGAGTCGCGGGGAATCTTCTGAGGGCATGGAGCCATACCTGGAGCCGCATCCTTCAGCTTGGACTGTATCACGTCTACTAACGTCTTGACTTTCTGAGGAGGTCTCCCCCAAAATACAAGACAATGCCGAGGGTCTATGTACGACACATCCTTCCTCGGACCATCAAGCTTAACCAGATGCTCGTCGAGGACCCAGCCTTTGAAGTCATTGCTGAGAATCTTCTCTCGCTGTTGAGCATTCCTCGTTATTCGATGCGTAGCGTACCGTTCTTGAATCAATTTCTAGATGCATAGATTAGGACAATATCTCAACACAACGGAGTAGGTGTGGCTGACGGGGTCACCATGACAAGCATTGATCAGGCCATCGAAAGGGTTTGCAGTGACAGGAGTGGATGTGCCAGATAGATCTTCAAAGTCGACTTTGGCCATTTCATTGTCCTGCCACTTGCCTTTATGATCGGCCTGACCTAGCGAGCTAGATACAAGGTCGAAGACGAGGTTGAAGTCGTCACGCGTGGTGAGGGGAGAGACGAGAGTGGGTACAAGTACCTCCCTCGCTCGTACCCGGAAAAACAGAAAGTCCGACCCCGTGTTACTCAGCAGCAATACCTCGGGAAACCTACCCCAAAGCTTACCTGCCCGCACATTTTCGCAATGTGCGTCTTGGCATTTGGCCGCGGTTTGCGCTCAATCTTGAAGTCGACACAGTTGACAATTTCCACCTGTTACAACCACCAAACCCTTGCTCAAATATTCGCGGCCGATCACTCAGTCAAGATGGTGAGTAGCCTTTCTGCCTTAATTTCGCAATGTGCTTCGTAATACCTCACTGGGAAGGGGCACGCTGCGGGCGGTTGACCAATAAAGTGGATGGTGAGGAGGTGAATTGCATTACGAGAAGAGATGGAACATCAAGGCCATCGCCTGCAACATGGATTCGAATCGAGGGTTTGAAAGATTCTGTTTCCAAATCATGACAGGATGGCAGGGAAGAGGTGCAAGAGGTGCAAGTGGGAGGCTCTTGGACAAAACCACTCTTGACGAGATTGCGAATCTAGAGAGGCTAACTGTTGTCTCTTCTCCCATCAGGTCAACGTTCCCAAGACCCGCCGCACCTACTGCAAGGGCAAGACTTGCAAAAAACACACTCAACACAAAGTCACACAATACAAGGCCGGCAAAGTGCGATCTCCCTCTCCAGAACCCGCCCGTGCATGACGATACTCGGTGAATCGGACACTGACAAGCCTTTGTATAGGCCTCGCTATTCGCACAGGGAAAACGTCGATACGACCGCAAGCAATCCGGTTACGGTGGTCAAACGAAGCCCGTGTTCCACAAGAAGGCTAAGACGACCAAGAAAGTGGTGCTGAGATTAGAGTGCACAGTTTGCAAGACCAAGGCACAATTATCGTTGAAACGATGCAAGCACTTCGAGTTGGGGTATGCCACAACCTTTGGCCTTCGATATGAGCAGACCAGGGCTGACTTGAATTTCTGCAGCGGTGACAAGAAGACGAAGGGTGCGGCTCTTGTGTTCTAGACATGGTGAGACTTTGCAGTGCTCTGGCGGAATAGCGAGAGATCAAAGCACGAGTGCGATCGAATTCAAACATGTATGGCAGGAAAGCAGCAATCACGATGAATCCTCATCTGATGAAAGTGAGATGGTGATACGATCACCAAGGAAGGGTAGATGTGATATGCTCACATGCATTCAATCTATTTCCTGGAGGCCATGACGCACCAGCGCTCTTTATGAGCAGCCTGTATTTCGATGACCAGCGTCCGCAATCGAATGTTACCCTCAGTCCTGCTGTCAAGTATGCTTCCAGTTCAGTCATCTCAGCTTTTCCAGCTCCCAGACCTGACATCATTCTGTCGGCCATCCACTTCTATCCCTCGAAAGTTCGACTAGAAGCCTTCACTGTTCTCTCTTTAGATAATCGTGGAGGATGCTCGCATAGCGAACCACAGCGTCCAGACCTATGGTGTTGCGTAGTGCTCGAGCCTTATAAGTTCGCGGCATATGTGTATCCAAGCTATTCACACCCATGACCCGATACGTTTTGGGCCAGCACACGACCCTTCGTTTGGAAAGATGACCTATGCCCTATTCCAAGACCACCCAAGAACAATCCGTACCGCGATAGGTTAGTCAACAAGGGGCCATTTCAGCGGAAAAGTCGGCACACTTGAATACGGCCCTCAATACGAAGCAGATGCACCAAGACGACTTGGCCAACTCCAGTATTACCGTAGTTAGCCTCGATTGTTGTGTTTTTGGCACGATGCACTGCTTGTCCCGCGAAAACAGGCTTCACTAGTACAAAGGTATAGGTAGAAGGCTCAACCGGTTACCAAACGAACGGAATGCGACGAGGGACAAATGACGCATCCTCATAGCACGCGACCCTTTGCTACAACTTCCCGACACGGCTGATCAGAGGACGATTGATTCTATTAATATCCGTTTACTCGCTCGAGCGAGGAATCGGCCTCGACGTCTTCTGGACTCTGACGATGAAACAAACACCTCTGCCTACATACATAGAGGCGTGATATGATCCGAAAGTGCAATCCAGGCTCAGAGTTACAAGTTGTTGTCACGTTCACTCACTCACTGCTTCTTTGACACATATCTTTTTCCTTCATTTCTCAAAGCAAGGAACTAAGAATAAGAGCTGGTCATGCCACGGGAATCTCAACCACCAACCAAAACCAGAGTCGAGTCCATTGGCATCGCGTTCAACATTTCAACCTCCCTCCTCTCTCAAGCTCTCTCCCCATAACTTTTAATTCATCTGCCCCACACCCTGTTCTCGAAGAGAAAGATGCCATCCATATTCACCAACGAATATTCTCGCGGGCCGCTCTACCAGTACTGGAAAGAGCGGGGCCAGGAAGAGAAAGCGCTGCGCGAACAGCGCATCCAGGAGGCCAAACTGCGCAGCAAGGGATTCCAGCCCATGAGCCCAGCGTTTGGACCAAGCAGCACGGACGCTTACGCACAGCGAGCAACAAGTGGTCCACCGGCCTACCATCCCGAGTCGTCTGAAGGTGCGGGCGGTTCGCCGCCGCAACAACATCTTCCTCCCGTTGACGAGCTTCCCCCGTACGGCGCCACGGCGGGAGTGGTGGGAGGACAATCTGAACCCGCTGCTGAGGGTGGAGGCGGCTGCGGGCAATCACTTCTCTCCAGTGAAGAGGAGAAGGCCCGCCTGCGCCGGCTCGAGGAACAGCACCGACACAGTCAGGCGGACTCGGCGCTCACCCAGACGCTCTCGGCAGAGGACGAACAGGCTGCTTGGACCGCTGCTGAGGAGGACGATGCATCCACGGGGAAGGGCAAGCAGCCAGAACGGCGCCGAAGCACGGCAGGGAAGATTGGGCGGTGGTTGGCGGACGCAGCGAGCGGCTACACCAAGAAGCAGGAACGGTGGTGAACTGCGTCACGAATCTATTTGTTCTCGGGGCTCTTCCTTTTGCTCTTGACTTTTATTCTTTTGTTTCTTGGGTTTTTGCATTCATCCAGCGAGGTACATGCCGATGTCGATGAGGACGGGGCAAAACTCAGCAGGAGACCCGCATCTGACTGTCTTGCACCTACGCACCCTGTAACCTTGAAAGTTGTCCAACGAAGGAGGGTGGGGAGGGGGAGAGATCGTAAGGGGCTGTACTCCATAAAGTCGCACACTCGATCAATATCATTCCTACACCATGCTGGGCACCTGCCACTGCCAGTGGAAAGCCATCCACGAAAAAGAAAACAGCGGGCGGAATCAAAGAATGCTTGGCCGAGAAAAACGAATGGGGAGATCTTTATTGGCATAATGACTGAGAGATTATTCTAAACACAGCTTATATCCGAGGGTAATCGTAAGTCATGAGAGACTGGCATGAGAATGAAACTCCAGCCATCTGTTCAAATCATTGGCAATTCGTCTCTGCAGCGATAAGCGTCATCTCCGTCTGATTATATCCATCGTAGACATTCGTAATCATGGTCGAAAAATTTCCGCGTTTCAATGGTCGCCATCAGTCCGTGATCCGGGCAAGATAGTTAAACTCCTGAACTCTCCTCTTCACAAAACTAAGAAGACTCGTTATGCGTCTGTGTACCGTGTTCTTTGAAATGCTCAACGAGGGCTCCGCCAAACAACGCTCTGCCGGCTTATCTGCTCCTCCTCTTCCTCCCCTCCGGCCCGAACAACCCATCCAAGAAGTTGCCAAACACCTTTCCTGCTGCTCCCTTGCCGGACAGGATTTCATTTAGTCGGTCCGCCAGAGGATCATCGCCAGGCTCGGGCTTTTTGCGTCCCTTTTCGTCGAATCTGGGCGGCAGTTCGATCGTAGCATCGGAATCAGTGGGGCTTGTTACACGCTCGAGTTCTGGGCCGCCGGAACCGGCGCTTGGTTCTCCCCGAGACGAGCTTGGTTCATGAGAACGACGCCGCCGGTGATGCCGCCGTCTGTCTCCGTTCTCGGCTGAGTCTGGATGAAGCGATCGAGATGAATGTTCTCGACTTCCTCGACGTTGTTCATCAGGGGTTGAGTCCGTATCGTCTTCCGCTTCGTAGCCACGAGAGTACGAATGTTTGTGTCGATGGCGGTGTCTTTCGGGACTTGATGCTTCAGATTCGATCGGCGCAGCATCAGAAACCTCTGGTGTCTCGACAAACTGGACGCTTTTCCGACTAGATGGTGGCGGCTGAGATTGAGACCGTGGAGGAGAGACACTTCGTCCGGAAGGGGGGGGATATGTTTCTTGACGCGGGGGGATGGGAGCCGGGGGCGGAGGAATGGCTGGGTCGTTGAAGGAAGGAGCTTGCGTGCTTGACGGCGGTGGCGGCGGAGCCGGCGCAGAACGATTTAGACCTAATTGCCCAGGTTGTCAGTCTGCTGGCAATCCCTAACCCAGAAAGAGACCGAATTCAAAAGGTACATGACTATGACGTACCATCTGGGACATGGTGCTGGTCATTGCTGGGAACAGTAGGTGCAAAAGGATTGCCAAATGTAGAATTCAGCTCAGCACTCACATTTTCAGGGCCACGTGGTGCGTAAGGGTTCGCACCAGAAGCATACGCATCATATGGTTGAGCAGGAGCCGGCGGAGCACCAGGAGGAGGAGGTGGTGGTGGTGGAGGCGGATAGTTCTGTGGAGGATACGGTGCGGCACCGGCTGGAGCTGTACCAGGTCCAGCTTGCGGAGGGTATTGCTGAGGTGCAGCTCCTGGTGGAGGCGGGAACTGACTCGTCTGAGGATAGAAGCCTTGTTGATTCGCATACGGATCGCTGACTGGAGGAGGCGGCGGGGGTGTAGGAGCATATTGTGTCCCCGGATTATAGTTGTCCTCGTAAGGATCACGACCATATCCTTCCTCTTCGCGACCTAACTCTTGTCAGCAATTCACATGTTAGGACGGCGGGATGACTTACGCCTTCGTGCTCGACGTTCACGTTTCTCCTGTTTTCGCTTCTCATACTCGGCGGCACCGATTGCTCCCGCGGCTGCGGCTGCAGTCATCTTTGCAGCATCTCCCGAATGCCTGCGCCTGCTTCGGCCTGGAGAGGGACTGGAACTGTGGGACGATCTTCGACCACCTCGTTCACGACTCAAACTCCGGCTTCTACTTCTGTTCCCGCGTTGTGCCCCATAACCCGCTGCTGCGCCTGCGGCAGCTGGCACAACAGCATTCGAGTAGTATCCATCCTGGGGTGGCGGTCTTCCGTAGTAATCTGGGCCGTAATTGTTGCCGTACATAGGCGCATTTCCATACTCGATTAAACCAGGATCATTAATCGTGCCCTGGTTCGGCCCGTCGTAGTACGCATGCTCAGACCGGGCCCTGCTTCTGGACCTGGAGCGAGCACGACGCCGCTCGTCGACGATCTCTTCGGCTTCCTTCTTTGCCTTGTGTTTCTCATACAACCCAGCGACGGCGGCACTGCCCAATCCAGCAGCGACGACAGGCAGCGCCTGTCTAACGCGGCTTCGCGACCGTTCCTTACCATCCCTGGCTCTTGACTTGCTTCGAGCATGCTCAATCAATGCCGCAACGATAGCGCCGCCAGCGCCGGCCTTTGCAATCGTGTTTCTACGATGCTTGGGATTGCGCGCATCGTCTGATGGAGCATTTGGATCATCTTCAAGACTGGAAACAGACTCCCTCCGGCGTCGAGAGCGAGAGCGACTGCGAGAACGGCCACGATCGCCGTCGTCGTTAGACTTGTTCATGCGCTTGGAAGCGATAGTGGCGGCAGCTGCAAGTGCGGCAGCCCCGAGACCCACCGCTCCAAGGGTCTTCAGCTTCGACGGAGACGAAGAACGAGACCTGCTGCGATGTCGAGAACGTCTTGGCGACCGAGAACCCGATCGGGAGTGGTGCCGGCTTCGACTACGGTGCATGGACCTGGCGCGGTGGATGCCTTCAGCGGCAAGAGCCCCTAGAGCACCAGCTCCAATATCACGTCCAACACGGCCGACGCCATGGGATACGTCGCGACCTTCCTTCTTGTTGTGGTTCCGTAAAAGCTCAGCGGCACCGACCCCAGCAAGGACGCCGGCGGCAAGGCCCCGTTTACGCTCAGGACTGGGGCTTTCCTCGCGGACCTCTTTGCGGACGTAGACCATACTGTCGTCGCTGCTATAATCACGGCCTCTTTGGGACACAGAATCATGAGGGCTCACGGACCGACGTCGGCTTCGGCGCTCATAATAGTCATCATCATCTCGGTCAATCCGCTCTCTGACCTTCTTCTCGTAGAAAAAATCCTCCTCTCCACGAGGGGAGCGAGGCGGCGGGTCTCTTCGGACAACGCTGCGCTCTTCATCAATGTCCGATTTGCGAACAATTTGATAGTCGTCGTCCCGGACTCTCTCTCGAATTATGATGGGCTCCTGACGTATAATGATGGTCTGTGGCGGCGGTGGAGGAGCAAAGTAGTCGGTAGTGCGGGTGTATCGTTGAACATCACGATCGTCATAGCCACGAGGCGAAAGCATTTCGTAGTCGTCCCGAAACCGGGTATCGACGACTTTGCGGTCGTCGTATCGGGTGACTTCAAAATCATCTCGACGAGGCTCCTCGCGCTCAGTGGTGCGTCTGATAACGAGTTCTCTCTCTGCCGCAGGCTCTTCTCGTCTGGTATCGTAAACATAGTCTCTTCGAGGTTCATCGTCTCTTTCTCGCTTGATAACCAATTCACGTTCGGTATAGCGGGGTTCTTCTCGGCGCACCGGTTCATCGACCTCACGACGGACGATCCGGGTCTCCTCCACCCTTTCACCTGCACGCTCGGGGACAAAGCGCCGATCCCGGCTTACAGAGGAGCGGCTGTCATCTTCTTTGACCACGTAGCGCTTCACCGTTGTGTATCCGCCATCACGTCGGGTTGACGAGACTGATGTTCGAGAGTCGTCGAACCTGTCTCGATACACGGAGCCCATTCTGGGCTTGAGGTGAAAAGAGCAGGAGCCGCACCTGATGAAATGACCGAAGGGCAGGCAGGGAGGGGTTCACGTGCACGGTTCGACAGATTCGCAGGGCGAAAAGATGTGAGGTTCTGTGTGAAGGAATTTGACCCGGCTCCTGAGGTGGAAAATGGTGCCCAGAGGAGAAGAGGAGGAGATGGTAGAACACAAGAGGCAGAGATGAAGATTGGAAAAGAGTGGTCGAGGTTGGGCCGGTAGCAGATGACAATTCAGACCAGGGCCAGAAGGATCAGATGGGTGCGTATAACCGGCGGCGGACGGTCGAGACGGGGGATGGACGAGCCGTTCCTCACACGGGTGTGCGAATGTCTCGTGCGAGCGTCTCAGATTTATCTATGCCCGTTGTGCGGCTGCTGAGATGGAGTCTGTGGAAAATGAGGCCAGCTGAGCCAGAATGCCGGGAAGTCTGCAATACGGGCTCGATGGGTTGCAAGAGTAGGCTTGGGCAGCGCCGAAGGTCAGGTAAAAAGTGGACTTTGGCGAATAGAGAGAGGGGTGTTGACGGGAGGGATGGAAGGATGGAGGGTTGGAGGGGAAGATGAGAGGGCGCAGGACGCAGGACACAGGACTCAGGACGAGAAAGTGGAAGAAGCAGGCAGGCCAACTCGACCAACTCAACGCCCTCAACGCATCTCAGCCAACCAGCCTCTGCTGCTTGAGGCCTGTTGAGACTCTTTTGTGGTCTGCGTGACGTACATTGCATGTGGCCCCCGTTGTCCCCGCTGCGGCCGCCCTGTTGCCTCACCTTGCAGAGTGTGACCTCTTCTGCAGTTTGCCCAAAAGAAATCAGAGCCGTCTGACACGTCCGGCACACCACGAGCAAGTACTGGGTACTAGGCGCCGTGCTGTCAAATGACGCTCGTCAGGTTGGCCACATTTAAAGGTACAACAGGGCGGAGGTCTTCCGCCGCACTCATGCAGGGCGCAGGGCAATATTAATATCCCTCGTACTTCAGTCTGGGTCGCGTTGCAGCCTGATCCCCCTCATGAGAATACAACAGGGCTGCGGCCCAACCAAGAACAGAAAACCGGTGAAAGACCAACACAGTATCTTATTGGAACTTTTGATCCGGGCGGCGCTTGTCCTCCCTGCTGAGGGTTGACGGCACCTCACATGCCATATATAATAAGGAAAGAGGCCGTCACTAAGGAAAAAGAACATGCAACTGACGGTTGCCCTGACACAAGGCCAAATGCCTTTCCTGGTTTCCTTGTCGTTTTTCCTTCACGCCCATGCGCTTACTTTCTTTGCCAGTTTCTTTGCTGACCATTGTATAGCCAAGTATAAGGTTGCAATCCCAATGCTTTTCTCTTTTCCGGACACGGTCCTTTGGGTATCTCGGTCGTCAAATGACCCCATAAAAGGCGGGTCTTCTTCATGCACAAATGAAATTCGTCCCAATCATAACCCCAAATTTTTTTTTTTTTTTTTTTTGCGTCAAACGGCTTCAGCTTTTGGTTCGGTCGGAGATCCTTCGGGATCGTCTCCAGATTTATCATCGTTGGGTAACACCTTGACCCGGCTGCCAATCTTGGCAGATCTCGTCCTGGAGCTCAGGGGTAGCTGGTACTTGATCACGCCTCTAACAATAAGATCAAACGGGTGTTGTAGTACTCTCTCCCAACGCACGGATCCCCCGACTTCGGTCTTGTTGCCCGGTCTCGCAAGTCGAATCTCACCAACTGAAGAGGTGTGGCTGTGGCGGAGTGGTGAGGCATCAAACACCAACGGCGAATCGAACACGAGCACCCTTCCGAGCAACATCTTCTGTGTCCCTGGCTCGGGGTCGTCGATCGGGTCCGTTCCTTCGTCCACGCCATCGTCAGAATGCCAGGGCGGCCAGTCGAACTCCAGGCCATTTGCACTCCGTCGATTGACCCATCGGAGGGCCCTCCTTTGGCCGGCCCCGTCCCAGTCGGCTGTAGTTCCCACATAGGGGCTCTCGGCAAACAAGTTAACATCCAGGTCATTCACCGTAATAGGGAAAAGATTCGTGTTGAGCGCCAGCACGTGCAAATCCAGCATGAGCTCTTGCTCTGATGCGAGCACGTTCTGAATATGTTTAATAGAGACATCCATCAGCGGCCGATTGAGGGCTATCACAAACGTGGTAACGCCAACAGAGATCAGAAGAATAACAAGTCCAAGGAGAATGCAACCGCTATAACCACCACACCAGCTGCGGTCATGGGCGTCGTTGTATTCGAGATGCCGAAAGCTTGTGCTGTGCGGACGGCGGCTATGTCTCGTGCGATTAACGCGGACCGATCCGAGGAGGGGCGCTCTCTCGTCGTCGGCGGCGGCATCATCATATGCATCAAATGGCTCTCCCTTGCGCAGAGTGCCCGGTAGCCGGCCGTTGGAGCTTCGAGGGCTGTTGGGCCGCGAAAATCGGGACGGATTATTGGGCGTCGAACGCGACGGGTTTGTCTTGTTCGCTTGCGTGAAAGGTGACTCCGTGTCCAGGATTGAGGTGTGGTGAGGTCGTCCATGCCGACTGATGTGGTGATGACGGGGCGTCGAACTGGAGTTGCGTTGACTTCCCCGACCTTCAGGTCCAGACTCGCCATCCAAGTGATTGTTGTAGGTGCTGCTCGAAAACTTCATACTCTTCTTTCCGGTAATTGCCTGACTGCCGCTGCGAACGCCATGCTTGTTGCGGTTCCCAAATTGTTCTTGGCTGGCGAGGGACGTGGCACTGGGCGTTCGAGAGTGATGCCGGGCTGGTCGGCTATCTGGTGGATTAGACTCATAGACGAAAGTCTCGTCCGAATCAGAGGAATCAGCTTCATCCACTGCACTGGCGACCTTAGCCTCGAACAGGTCAGCTTTGGAAGTCACTGTGCCAGCATGAAGCGAGGGAGCCTTGCGGGATTTTTTCTTCTCCTTCTTAGGCCGAATGGTTTCATTGCTAGGTTTCGTCCTTACACTCCCATTCCCATCTCTACCTGAAGCTCCTCGGTCTGGACCCAGCAATTGAGGCATAGAAGTAACAGTCTCCGTCTCCACAGTCATGGTTCCGGGAGGCTCGCCAGTGGGTTTGGGCTTTGTCCCCGTAAGGCTGGTGAAAGAGCGCTTTGCCAAATCCGACGCTGGCCGGGAACTACTGGGAGCCCTTGACCTTCGGCCATTTTCTGTTTTGGTGGCCGTGACTTTCGAGGGGCCGTCGCCGCCACTTCCTTCACCATCTTTGGCCGTGGATGGATCAAGCCGTGACTCTAGTCGCTGATCAAGGGATGGTACATCCATTCTCTGCTCCAATGGCGAAGTCGATAGAGGTCCAATTGCAGGAGTCGTGGGGACGCTGTTTTCTGCCACCGTTTCAAGGGTGGTGCTTGGGCCTCGGCCTGATGTTCTTGAGTTGGAATGCGGGCCCGGTTGTTCATGAGTGTCAGGAACTTGCATTGAAGCGGCGGTGTCAGGATGAGAGACAGGTGCCAATCTTTTCAACGAAGTATTCGACGGCATCTGATCTGAATCACTCCTCTTAGCTGACGGTGCCCTTGTTCCAGTCTTCGAAGGAGGAGGAGACTTCAGCCGGGGGGACGCGGGCCATGACGGCGGATTTTGACCTGATCTCATTTGTCGTTCAGAGGAGCGACTGCCCTCGAGCACCGAGTCGACAGTGGGAGGTTGTAAAATAGGTCTCTGGGCAGACAAGGCTCGCTGAACGGCAGCGGCTGAAGGCACGGTTGATAACGATCCCGGTATACCACTGTTTCGTGTCGGACTGAACTCCTGGCTTCCCTTGCGCGATCGCGAGAGCTGGGGGATGCTAGACACACTGCGAGAATTGCGGGCAGGAGAGGTCTCGCGTGATGTTTTGGATTGGTCAGGATGGCCAGGTCCCAATGCCGGGATATTGTCTGAAGATGGCCCTGACATGTTTTGACGAGTGTGTCTATTTCGCTATGCCGTTACTCCTCCCGACTGCGACGTTCCGGAAGGGTCTACTCGAGGACTCGTCTCTGTCCGATCATCGCGGCAAATGGCCCTGAATTGGGAATGGTGAGTTGATTGGGGGTGAGCCCCGAGGTAAGTAGAGGACGACGCTTTCCGCAGAGGAGGAGGAAGGTGTATAGGGTTCAGCGAAGGAAGGGACGTCAAAGTGAGCGGATCAGGCGATAATCGTTTGACGGCTATACTGGGCGATTCATTGGGGAAGATGGGCGAGAGAGACCCGAGCAGGCGGTCTTTAGGGTGGTTGAGCAGTACAGCTGACAGAAAGACAGACAGCAACAGCGAATCGAGCCGGGGGTTCGGAGGCAGCGGCGAAATGGCGAGGCGGGTTTGGATGGGGAAATAGATTGCGTGAGGTTTGTAAGAGTTGAGAGGAGGTAAATGGTGGTTAGAAACAGGGGAAAGAAAGAATAACGGGGATCGCAGGTGGAAGGGATGGACCACGGACCACAGCAACGTAATGGTAAATGGACAAATGGCGGATGGGAAAGGGAACGGGGAAGCGGTTACGAGTGGACTCGCATCTGCACCGCAATGCACAGCGTCATCCTGCTGGTTTGCTCAGGTTCGCCGCCGTTGCCCAGATGTGGCTGCAATTGGTGGCTGGACCCCTCGGCACCAGTCGGTGCCCCCCACAAGACCCCTGTCGGTACATTTTTAGGCGCTGCTTAGGCGGTCTTTAGGCTGCACTGTTTTCCTTCAACGTGGCATTTTGCGCTGGCGAGCCCTGCCTAGTGGCCTAGTGGCCTCCCGCTGCAGCCTCCGGACTAGCGAAGGCTTTGCGTTTCCAACGCTCTCTAGTCTCGGCCGCCCTCAGCAAAGTGGCATCACCATCATCGCTGTCATCCGCCCCCAACACCACCACACCGCAAACGCCCCCATCTGGTGCCATCAGCCTCGGAGTTGATTCTGTGATCATTTCGGTCCAACCACATCTCCGATCCTCAGCTCGCACCCACCGCCTCCACGGAGCTGGGCTCCGGTACCTGTCCCT